TCTGTGGTTTTCCAGAGAGACAAGGGTTCTTCTGTGGTTAAGCGGCACGCAAAGGTGAGTGCCTTGAATGAACTTAAGAATCATGTTTGATTTATATATTTACACATCTTATCGCTGAGCAAATCGTTGCTTTCGTGCTTTATCATCTTCGTAATCTGTAATCATTTGTTCAGTGACATTGCTATATAAAAAGGTATTTTCAATGGGCGTGTCCGTATCACGCATCCACCCTTTCAACATACATCATCTCCCTCGTGGTCTCTGTCTCTACATACTACACAAGGAAGATCCTTCAGGAAATGGATCTGCCTTTAACGAGTCTCGAAGCGGGTGACGAAGACCTTGCAAGTTACCCAGGAAAGTCTTAGATATATGAGGCCTATACATACGAAAGGAAGGCCATCCGAAGCAAGAGTGTGACGGAGCACTGGAACATTATACAGTAGCAGTGAATGTCGAGGTCAGTGTGGTCAGCTGTTATGGTGTGTGAAAGGGTGGAAGGAGCGAGGAGTTAGAAGGGGTGGAGGAAGGGTGGAGGGAGAGTGGGGGTGTGGAATGGGAGAGAGTGGCGGGTGTGAGGTGATGAGAGTGGGTGGGGAGGGATGGGAGTGGGGATGGTGGGTGGGGGTGTGGGGATGAGACGCAGGGGTGGGGGATGGGAGTGGTGGGGGACGAGAATGGAGTGGGTGGGAGGGAGTGGGGGTGAGAGTGGGTGGGAGCGAGAGTGGGGTGGGGAGGAGGGAGTGTGGGGATGAGAGAGAGTGGGTGGGGATGGAGGGAGTGTGGGATGAGAGAGAGAGTGGGTGGGGAGGAGGGAGTGTGGGGATGAGAGAGAGTGGGTTTGGGATGGAGGGATGTGGGGATGAGAGAGTGTGGGGGGATGAGAGAGAGAGAGTGGGGAGGGGAGGGAGTGTGGGGACGAGAGAGAGTGGGTTGGGGAAGGGAGGGAGTGTGGGGAATGAGAGAGAGTGGGTGGGGAGGGAGGGAGTGTGGGGATGAGAGAGAGTGGGAGGGGAGGAGTGAAGAGTGTGGGGAGAGAGTTGTGGGGAGAGGAGTGGAGGGGGGAGTGAGAGTGAAGAGAGTGGTTGGGAGGTGGGGGAGTGTGGGATGAGAGATGAGTGGGTGGGGGAGGGAGTGTGGAGGAATGAGAGAGAAGTGGGTGGGAGGAGTGTGGGGATGAGAGAGTGGGTGGGGGGAGAGTGTGGGCGATGAGAGAGAGTGGGTGGGGAGGGAGTGTGGGGAGAGTGTGGGTGGGGAGGGGAGTGTGGGGATGAGAGAGGGAAGTGGTTGGGGAGGGAGGGAGTGTGGGATGAGAGAGTGGTTGGGAGGGAGGGAGTGGGGGATGAGAGAGTGGGGGGGATGTGGGGATGAGAGAGTGTGGTTGGGGAGGGAGGGAGTGGGGGATGAGAGAGAGTGGTTTGGGGAGAGGGAGTGTGGGGAGAGAGAGATGGGTGGGGAGGGAGTGTGGGGATGAGAGAGAGTGGTTGGGGAGGGAGGGAGTGTGGGGGAGAGAGAGTGGTTGGGAGGGAGGGAGTGTGGGGATGAGAGAAGGTGGGGGGGAGGGAGTGTGGGGTGAGAGAGAGTGGTTGGGGAGGGAGGGAGTGTGGGGATGAGAGAGAGAGTGGTTGGGGGAGGGAGGGAGTGTGGGATGAGAAGAGTGGTTGGGGAGGGAGGGAGTGTGGGGATGAGAGAGAGTGGTTGGGAGGAGGGAGTGTGGGGATGGAGAGAGTGGTTGGGGAGGGAGGGTGTGGGGATGAGAGAGAGTGGTTGGGGAGGAGGGAGTGTGGGGATGAGAGAGAGTGGTGGGGGAGGGAGAGTGTGGGATGAGAGAGTGGTTGGGGAGGGGGGAGTGTGGGGATGAGAGGTGGGTGGGGAGGGGAGTGGGGATGAGAGAGTGGGTGGGGGGGAGTGTGGGATGAGGGAGTGGGTGGGGGGGAGTGTGGGGATGAGAGAGTGGGTGGAGGAGTGTGGGGATGAGAGAGTGGGAGGGAGTGTGGGGATGGAGGGGTGGGGAGGAGTGTGGGGATGAGAGAGAGTGGGTGGGGAGGGAGTGTGGGATGAGAGAGAGTGGGTTGTGGATGAGGGGGTGGGAGGGAGTGTGGGGATGAGAGAGTGGGAGGTGGGGAGGGAGGGTGTGGGGATGAGAGAGTGGGTGGGGAGGGAGTGTGGGATGAGAGAGTGGTGGGGAGGAGTGTGGGGATGAGAGAGAGGGTGGGGGAGGGAGTGTGGGATGAGAGAGTGGGTGGGAGGAGTGTGGGATGAGAGAGTGGGTGGGGAGGGAGTGTGGGGAGAGAGTGGGTGGGGAGGGAGTGTGGGGATGAGAGAGGGTGGGTGTGGGGAGGAGAGTGTGGGAGGGATGGAAGAGTGGGTGGGGAGGGAGTGTGGGGATGAGAGAGTGGGGGGGGAGGAGTGTGGGGATGAGAGAGAGTGGGTGGGGAGGGAGTGTGGGGAGTGGGTGTGTGGGGAATGAGAGAAGTGGGTGGGGAGGGTGTGGGGATGAGAGAGAGTGGGTGTTTTGTGGGGATGAGAGAGTGGGTGGGGAAGTGAAATAACACCTTGCGAGGTACACAGAGGGCAATGACGTAAAAGGAAAAAGGGTATTTTTTTTAAATGCCGTTTCGATTAAAATGTACATTTACCAAAAATAAAATCTTTACAGCATCAACAATAATTTTCAGATCAAGTACAATCTATATCTAGACACTAAAATTACATTCGGACTCCTGTCTCTGGTAAATGAATAAACTTTTGATTACAGTAACAAAATAAATACACACACACATAACAATTATAACAAATCGCTTTCCTATTACAGTAGCAAAATAATAAATGCCATTGTCAAGTAACAAACTTCCTCAGATGCTCTTTACAAGCTTCTGATCTTGTCCAAGTTCGAAAAGCTCTCCAGGTCCGTGAAAGAGCTCAGGTCGCAAGTCAGGTCATGCTTGGGAACCGCCCTGCCCAGCATCTCGAGGCGCGCCAAGACAGTCCCGTTGCCTTCTTGGCCCAGGAGAACGTAATGCCTCGGAACGGCGGGGAACGGTTGACCCGGAACGTTTATGTAGAGCGACCAGCGCACTCGAGGTGTGCTCAGCTCCGTCGTCTGGCGTAGTTTCTCGCCTGCGAAGAAACGTTAATTGAATATATTTCTGTAGAAAATGTAAATGGATATCCTCACTAATTACCGATTATTCTCAGAGCAAGGGATGAACTTTCAAATTAGTTCCTGTTTGCCTAGGACAATTTTAGGGTATATAAACAAATGCAATCATGAATATCTTAATTCCAAAGAGTCATCTGCATAACTGAGGGATTATGGGATTTTTTAAGTGCTTATCACAGACCTTGGATAAATAAAATTGGCACAAAAACACAAGGAAAGTAGTAATCCATTCGCCATGCAAATTTATGCACTTATGCGGAAAACTCAAAAATAAAAAAAATCAACATTCATTAGCCCCGTCTCGCTTCATCAAATAATCCATTGCTATTTACATATCACTCAATTTATCAAAGAAATCAAGATCGCACCCAATATAGTGAAGACAGCGGGGAACCTATCCTCCTGAACAGCCAGGACCACAGCAGACCCGGAAGATTCGCTGCCGGCATGGAAGGCTGTCACCGAGGCGGACGTGGAGAGCTGGGCCGAGTCACGCCATGCCACCTCACCCTTGACGATGTCCACGGAGTAGAGCTGGGCGAGTTAGGAGGAGAGAAGTTAGGTGTGCTGTCGCTACAGTGCATGATTTGTGGGGTAAACAAGGCATGATTGCGTGATTAATTAATAGGTCTGACAGTGAACCGTATCACTGTTGACAAATGTAGAAAAGTTATGAATGAAAATGAATATCTTCATAATACCCCCCGACGATTTCGATTTCGAATTATTTTCGAAACTAGTCAAATATATCTCTTGTATTATGAAGATATTCATTTTCATTCATACTTTTTCTGGATCTGACCGTCTCAAATCCTATTGCGTACAAAAAACCTCTCCCGCCTATCCTTCACTCACCGCCGCCCAACGCAACATCAGCAATTACGGCCCCTTTCCCCACTCTTTAACAACTCCTCTTAATTACCTAAGCCTCCTCCCTTACCTCGACGTGGTGCGTGTCCCCTGTGGTGAGGGACTGCGTCACAGCCGCCACCAGGAACACATGGCCATGTTGCTCCACCAACGCCGCGTCCTCCACCCGCGCCACATCCACAGCCGCCACCTGCTCGACGAAGCCCTCCACTTGGATGGACCCGAGGCCGCCCGCGCTCCGGAACAGGACCGAGACGCCGTCCTGCGTCGTCAGGCTCGTCGCTACGTCTGTGAAGCCGATAAAGGGAAGCGAAAATGACGCGATTTTTTCCATGTGGAGACTGACCAACCTTTGTCATGAAATCTTCCGAACTAATAAAGAAAATTAAAATTCCCGAACACTAATCCACGACAAAAATAAGCAAGAACAAAATCAAACTAAATAAAGCTTTCAATTATTCCAAAGCAAGTAACTTTTTTTTTCTTTCTTTTTACCAAATTGCCGGTCCACGGAATCAATCTCTTCGAAGAGGCGAGTTGTCGAGTTGAAAAGATAAACCCAAGTTCTTGCGGCTGAATAAAGGCTCAGTTTCAAGTCGCCGTTCTTCTCGTGCGTTTTTGTGAGCCTGTCTCCTGCGTGTAGCTCTTGGTAAGTCTATGGGAAATTACGGAAAATACGAGGGAATTAGCAGCAAACAAGAGTAAATGTGTAAGGGGAGCAAATGCAGTAAATAAGTAAAAAGTAACTTAAAAAAAAATCTAATCCAAAATCAATCCATTACACTTGACATCTCCAAGAGCATCCTAACGTTTTTCTAGCAAAATTCCATAAACGTTTTTCAACAAGACTTACGACAAGCTGGCCATCTATCATTTCGAAGACGACCGTGCTGCGTTGACTACAACTGTTGTTTTCATCGGATGCTGACATGACCACGAATGCCTGTTAAGACACACGATAAAGCTCTAGAATAACTTCAAAGACAATTAAAAATACATTTCTTACATGGATATACTTGTCTAAATTACGATGCTATGGAGTGGACGGAATTTCAAAACTGTATTTAAAAGCAAAATGAAGAGGTACAAATCAAAAATATATAATCAAACTCAAACAAACGCATACTAAACAAATTTCTAAATTACACACCTAAAAAATAATAACAATAACAGTCACAACAATTAATAATAATAATAATAATAATAATAATAATTACACATACTAAAAAAATAATAGCAACAACAACAACAATTAATAATAATAATAATAATTAATAATAATAATATAATAATAATATTATTATTATTATTATTCACAAACCTTACAAATTCACTGCAACTTTACCTGGTCAAGGGTTTCAATAAATAGCCAATCATGTCCGTAACCCGACTCGTGCAGCGTCTGACGGGGTTCGAGAGCGCCCGAAGTGGAATTGAACTCGAAAAGTGTCGAATCGCATCGTCCTTCCCAACTCATGATGACGTAAGTCGTGCCGGAGATCTGGGGGGGAGACATTTTCTTCTAATTTAATCTATGCTCATCTTTTATTGAGGTTTTAAAAGCTGAGAATGTAGAAACCCGCCAATTCTGTTTTATTTTTTTATGTATGTACTTGCTTTTCAGATATTTATAATTTCATCGCCTAACTCCTCCAAAAAACACACACATCATATCTTCATTCATCAACACAAATCTATAAATCAATCTATCACTACCTTATTGCTTAGTAAAATGGGCTACGCAGATCTGTTGTTTACGTACAACAGGGAACACACTGCGACGCCTCTCTTTCCCACGATCCTACTTCCCAACGCACGTATATCTAAAACGCCCTGCACCTCTACAGGTAAACTACACGGCTCACACACCTACCCCCTAACACCTACAACCAGGTTCTACGCCCTTATAACCCCACCTCTCCCATCTCACTCACAGTAAAGGACGTCGAGGCGTGGTGGGCGAAGGGCGTCGAGGCCTCGCGAACAGAGACGAAGTGGTCGCCCTCGAAGATCGAATCCTCGAGCTTGGCGAACATCTGCGTCGCCGAGGGACACTGCTCGGCGAAGTCCGTCTGGGAGGTCGGAACAAGGTCGCAGTAGGAGAGGAGTGCAAGAAATGCGATTCGTATATAAAAGCGAGTGAGTGAAAAGAAGAACCTAATTGTGCGATACAGAATCTTCGCAAGAAAAGTCTTTGTTTATTTATCATATATATAACTGGATAATATAATAAGATTCAATCACAATTACGAGAAAAAGTCTTGCTAAATAAAATGCCGCGTTTGAAATCCAAAGCCATGCTCGCATAAAAAGCAGCTTTAACAATTAACAATGTATGCCAATTTGAGTTTCAAATACGAATTTTCCATGTGTTATATTAGAATTACTTAGTAGGAAGAATACAATTTTGGGGTTACAATACATAAATTGCCGTTACATATATCATACATTCCGCTCGTTTCGGTATGGTGCTTAATGCGAGAATAGCAGTTCGATTCCATACAAACTATTGAACTGAGCCCTTTAAGATGTAATTAATGGATGAAAGCAAGTATGCTCCTCACTGTCCATTATATATAATGGTGGTGACTTTATGAAAGAAAAAGATATTTATAGTAGTGGTGTTGAGTGTTATATGATAATGATAAATGATGGTGGAAGTGACTGTTGTATCATAATAGTAATAATAAATGGAGATAATTGTTGTATTATCATTACCATAATAATAATAATAAAAGGTGTATCATAATAATAATAATGGTGACTATTGATGTATTATAATAATAATGGTAATGGTGGTGGTGATTGCTGTATAATGATAGTGGTCATATTAGTAACTTGTATTATTATGATATACAATAATAATGATGGTAGTGGTGGTGACGTATATAACTAAAATATAGGAGATGAATGCTACATACAGCAATAATGGTGGTCATTCTGTAACAATAATTATGGTGGTGATTGTCGTATAACAATGGTGGTGGTGATAGTTATATAACAAAGATGGTCTTGGTAACTGATACATCATAATGATGGTGATTGTTATACAACCATCACCGCCATCACTTTAATGCAACAAAGACGGTCTTAGTCATTGTTATTACCGCTACTACTGTTAATGATAGTGGTAGGAGTGAATGCCACATACAAACAATAGTGGTGGCGACGCTTAAAAAAAAAAAAAAAAAAAAACGCCTTTGTCGAAGAAAAACCTACCTTCCTCATATTCTGCAATGCGTTGAATCTTGAGATTGCGGCCTCGGTGTCATTCAGAAGCTTGCATATTCCTTCGGTTGTGTGTTCGACTTTGCAGACGAGCCCATCCTGTGTACGGATGGAATGGTTTCGCGGTTGTCAATTCAATTTTGGGGTCTCGATTCTTGGGGTCATATTTTCCCCATTCATTAAGCCTCTTTTATGATCGCTTCTATAATCATTAATCAAGGTGAATAGCAATATAGATAGGTGTATATTACTTTACTTGAAGTAATTTTAGCGAACTTGTTTAGGATAAAAAAAACGAAAATGCAGTACACAAGAGACTCATGTATCCTGTGTATACCCAAGGCACCTATGTAGCATGTGTCCGTTATCATACATTGTCTGTGTAGGATTATTTGGGCTTTAAATACGTATAGTTTTTGCCTTTTTTTCAAAAGCGCGGCATAGATACTCTTGTTCTTTTATTGTACATACCAAGAGCTGAACAGGTGCCATGAAGCTCAGATCAGCAGTGATGAGAGCGGGGGCGTCGACGTACCACGCCTTGGCAAACAGTTCCTCGACGTCCACCCCGCTCAACACACTGCTGGTACTGGTCACGTTGGCTGCCCTAAGTGGCTTGCTGAAGGTTAAAGAGCCTGTCGTGGTAAAGAGTGTGGTTTTAATACATGCTAAAATGGGAGGAAATTAGCAGCTGGTTGCTATATTACCAGCCCCTTATACAATTAGACTTGGGAAGAGATTAAAAGTACGAATATTTGAATTATAAATTATGATTATCTAACCATTTCTATCTATGGATGTAAATACATCTAATACGTATCAACTTCCGTATAGGTTCACTAATGTCACCTTGGATTTCGGCGCTCTCATTGAGGTAGATAACTTGCTCAGACAAGTCAACCCAATCTTCATCGTTTCCAGTCAGTCCTGTAACATGAACCTGGTTCAGGACCTCCACAGGGGTCGTTATAATCATGGATCCTGTCACTGTCTGCCCTGGAATTTGCTGGAAAATACAATTTTAAGTAAATGGATTGATGTTATCAGGTAAAGTGTTCAAAATCGTAATTATGACATATAAAAAATGCATGTTGTAAATAGTTATTTTTGTAAATGTTTGGGTTTGCGAGAAAGCTTTTATATTATTCCTGTCATTTACTCCCCAGAAACAGTAATGAACAAACTTTTTTGCATCTTCATGTTAACATTTAAACCATAGCTTGTAAAGTACAACAGAAAATACCTTCATAGTAGTCCGTACTTCGTCAGGCAAGTAATACCCGTTAACCTTCCCTCCTACGGAGACGTTTGACGTGATAATGTTGTTCATCGTCACTTCCCTCGTGAAGTTCTGGCTCCGTGAAACGAGCAGGTAATCCGTCATGAGGTCTGCTTCATTCAGGGAGTTCACGTTGATGTCACCGAAGGAGGATATATTTCCAGAGAACAACTGGCGGAAACATTCAACTTCAGAAAATTTCTTACAAGTGATGCCTTTGTAGTTGGACGGCAAGGAAAATGTTACATGTAATGAGTGATTAATAAACGAACATAAACCTGCACTTACGATGGACTTGTTGAAATGGTAGTCTTGGTTAACATAAACGGCATTTTCCAGTAAATTTTTGTGATCGACTCCATCAATTGTACCCTAGAACAGTCAATAGATCATTAAGGTCCTTCTACACATAATTATGGTTATCAATGCCTTGCAAAAATCGATAGAAGGGGAAGATATCAATCTAACACAAGTTCATTAATGCCTCACCTGAACAGCTACAGAAGAGGAGACGAGCGAAGTCGTGGTCATAGTACCATTAACAGTGATGTCAGAAGTAAAGTTGGCGCTTGGACTTGACCTAAGTATCGAATGACTCAAAAAGTCGTCAAATGTTCTGTCATTGAGTTTAGTCAAGTTGATGGTGCTGAAGGTCGTGTTTGACGTGAAGTTCTTCTTTCCCACTATGTCTACGCTGAGGTCTTGCAATGACACTGCATCGTCCAACACTTCATCCACGTTTAAAGAGTTGACAGTACCTCTCAGATCGAGGTGGCTTACATTTACTTCCTCGTGGAAATTTATATTCACTGGAAAACATAAACGTGTTATTAAATCATCCACATAGAGATGGATCAGCAAACCTTACAAGACCCCTCAAACTCACCGAAACTGTGGTTACCGAGATTTTTCAGAGCTATGGCTGCTATGTCGTCCAGTTGGATTCCATTGAAATTCTCAAGAGTTAAATTCTTTTTGGCTTCCAAGTTATGAAAGATGTAATCAGCCGTGATGTTTTGGTCTGTGTGGAGAGTAAGAAGTTTCGTCCGCAGATCTACACCATTGGTCGTTTCTGTGTTGATATTGCCTTTTACATGAAACCCATTCTTAAAGGTCTTCGTGTCTGAAAAAAATGCCAATACAATTGATATTGTGTAAACTAGTATCTGATATTAGCAGTATCTGATACTAGGTTTCATCCATTACCTTCATATACTGAAAAATCATCTCTATTTACCTGTGATATTTTGAGAAGTGTTTACATATTTAAAGACAGTGTTTTCACTTAGCACTTGTAGATTCAGAGTGTTAACAAGTCCTTCCACAGTTATGTCACCTCGTAGGTCTATATCAGACCATGTTGCACTGCCAGTCATTGTGTTATTGGAAGCAAGACTAACGGCATTTCTATCAATCTTACTGATGTTTAGACCACTGGCACCAACTTTACCTTCAGTTGTAACAGGTCCCAATATGTGCAAATCATTGAAAATCAGATCTGAAAATATTTCTGAGGAACCAATGTCAGTAACAATATCCTCCTTAAGTCTCCAGATATTGTAACCGTTTATCGTGTCTGCCACGAAAGAGTTCAAAACTGAAACGGTATTGTTGATGATCAATTCACCAAAATGCTCAGTGTGGTTCTTCAGACTTACACGAATGTCATTCAGTTTAGAGATATCAATACCATTCACTGTGAAACCTTCTGACAGGTCTATCTGGTGGGTTTCAACATCACTGAAATTGGCATAGCTGAATGACTGAGGGGCAGTAAATGTTTGATTGCCCGTCTTGGTAAAGACCCTTGTAAAATCAATACCAGACACTATTCCGGTCACATTTAAGTCTTCAGCAAATAATAGATCTTTGAATGTTTTCTTTCCTGTAACCAACTGTTTTGATTTGTCCAAGTACAGTGACGAGTTTACAAAGTGATCCAAGTTGACGCCATCTACTGTACCATTCACTTGTATCGAATTAAATATAACATGATCTTCAAAGGTTGTTTTCCCTGTAATTGTACTGGTGCTACTGGTCGTCACAATATCTTCAAATCTGTGGCCGTTAAAAGTGCTTTCGAAGTCAGCACTTGTAATTTCCAGCTCTCCTCCAGTGAACAACTTTAAGCCTGACAAGACAGCCAAAGGTTCATCATCATACACAATATCATCCGCAATCTCGAGCAAGTCAAGCCCATTTAAGTTACCACTGTAAGACAGTGCTGGGACTTGGACTGGCTGTTCAAACACCAAGTCTATCATTAGGTCTTCCAGATGCGATGAGTTGGAGAGACTTGCATTCAGGTTGTCTAGATTCACTCCATCTATTCGTTTCATGTCAATATCTAGGTCTCCTAGAACTTCTATTCCTTGCGTGAAGACCTTCCTCCCTGTAATATTCTGGGGAGTGTCAAGAGTGACCAGACTACTCGTGTCCAAACCATCTACCTTTGCTCCTGGTAACAGACTTACTGTTCCAAAGCTCACATTATGGAAACTCTTGGACCCGAAATTCAGGCTCGTGCTTGTCGTCCTCAAAAGGAAGTCATTACCAGGGAAAGGTTCTCCATTTACTAAGCCTCTAATTAGCATGTCATTCTCCACAGTCACTTGCAAGGGCACGGAAAGCACTCCTTCCAAAGTGGCTGGTCTGTTTATGAAGACAGTTGTTGACATGAACTCTGTAGTATTAACTCCCATTATGGCTCCAGCTTCAAGATGTTCCACAGACAGGTTTCCGTTGAAGAGCAAGGTGCCTGATACGGAGCCACCAGACACACGGAGGGAATCTTCAAACAGGTGTGTGACATTCATATTGCTGACTATGCTCGAAAGCACTTCTACATTTCCCCTCACTAGAGCACCGCTTCCGAATATGCACTGATCTGGAACATGGATAAAGGAGCATGCAGGTTTATTAGCACACAAATTTAGAGTATGAAACCTGCTTTCGTAAAACATCAAACCAACATTTCTAATATCACTATATAGGTCTATGAACATGTCATTACAGAAGTCTTAACCATAATTTAATCAACACCATTACCTAATGTGGCGTCTCCATCAAGAAGAACCAATTCTTCCGACAGGTCAACGCCCCCAACTGTTCCACCATCAGGAAGGGTGACAGTATGTGCTCTAAGGGTGTTCATGGTAACTGTGCCAGACACTTGCTGTGAGCCGGAAGTAGTTAAAATATCACTCACGGAAATATCATCTAGAAAGCCTGCGTCGAGATGAGTGATGTTCAGTCCCGATGTAAAGGTTTTCTTGCCAGAAATCTTGCGTGAATCGTTTACTCTGAAGAATATATTAAATCAAATTAATATTTTAAATCATATTCATATGTTATATCCAAAAGTGTTTGTGATTTGTATGAATGATAAATCGGAAGTCTAACCCAGACAAAAACTATGACACCAACTCCATACATGCAAAGTGGATTTTACAACCAAAAACGTCAAATACGTTTTCTTGTTACATAACTGGCAAGCACAGGAGTGATCCATCATCCACTAACCGGACAATACTAAGCAGCGTCTGAGTGAGTGGGTAGTGTTCACCAGAGACGTCTACAGAGTCCTGCAGTGTTGCTTGCTGGGCGAACAGAATGCCCGCTGACAGCCCACCTTGTACCACCGTCTTCGAACCCTCCACCACACGCTCGCTGCCGTGGATACTTACTGCATCTGTAGGCCACAAAAGAGGTATAACGTTACATTACATACAAAAGGAATGGTGATAACAGCAATAACCTAGTCAAAATAGGATCATCATATCTATCATCAACATTACCATATTTACTGCATTAAAACGTACACCTCTAATTAGTATATAAATACACCCACAGTATACGTGACTGAGCATTCAAAGTGAAACAAAATTTTAACAAACGTCTTGTAATCATACCGTCAAGAGTGTCGTTCATAGTCCTCAGCTCCGAGTCCAAATTAATCAACCGGTTTTCTAGGTCAGCAATCTCCTGTAAGTAATTGTCATACATTTGCTCTTTTGCGGTATCATTGGCGTCTTGGTGGTGGATGGTGATCGTGGTCGAGCTCATTGTTGAGGTCTCGAGTTTCTAAAAAAAAAAAAGTAAATCAGTAAATAAATAAACAAATAAACACGGCTGTTGTATAATTCCGTAAGACAAGATTAATGCTCGAGGAAGAATTTTATACATAAATATACACAAAGAACTTTCGTAAAATTACAAAATCATCATCAAGAGACCAAATTTCCTTGAACAATATTTTTAAAAAGACGGTCATTTTCTAATCACTTTTTACGCTAAGCCACTCACAATATCCACGTTTACATCGCGAATGGTGATCTCGCCGGCGATTTCGGTCTTTCCCTCCACCGAGTGCGCCAGCCTCTCCTCTGCCGTCCCCACGATGAAGACCTGGTTCTCGAATAGGTCCTGGAACCGAGAGCGGCTTTGAACGCGGGTTGAATTCATCTCAATTTGAGATATATTGGGAACCAACTCGAACACTCACATCAAACTCCTCACCTCAAACATCCACAAATCAACCACACTTCGCCTCGTCTCACCTCAACCGCCCGCACACCATCCTCAACCACCCGCACATCACCTCGCCTCGCCTCACCTCAACCACCCGCACACACCCTCACCTCGCCTTGCCTCAACCACCCACATACCCTCACCTCACATCCACAAATCAACCACAACTCGCCTCGCCTCAGCCACCCGCACACCAACCTCACCTCGCCTCACATCTCCTCACACCATCCTCAACCACCCGCACACACCCTCACCTCGCCTTGCCTCAACCACCCACATACCCTCACCTCGCCTCACCTCACCTCAACCAACAACACACCCTCACCTCACCTCGTCTCAACCACCCGCACACCCTCACCTCGCCTCGCTTCGCCTCACCTCAACCACCCACACACCCTCACCTGGCCTCGCCTCACCTCAACCGCCCGTACATCAAACTCACCTCACCTCAACCACTCACCTCCAATTCAGTAATGGTTCGATGCATCTCGAGTGTCTGCAACTTGACAGGGTCTACAACTTCAACCAAATTCAGGTCAAGACTCACTCGGACGAGGCCGGACTCACCTGGCAATATCACCTTGAAAAACGCAGGTAAAATTAATACGCAGAAGGACTAATACACTATCGCTTCTTTTCTTGAAACGAACAGCACGATTCTTGAGTAAAATTGCAGGGACTATTCTTCTTTTTATTTTACTTGGAAGGTTAATAACTTAACTGATTTCTTATTTGCTTTCTCTGTTTTATCTGTTTATCTACACCTATATTATCCTCTTCGTGATATGAGGCAATATAATGGGTTCTTTGGGAGCTATAACCGTCAATCATCTAACACCAACAGAAAATGAATTAGATATCTAAAACCATCTACCGTGAAGATGTTAAACGACTGCGATAACTGATAAAACGTAACATCAAAAAAATAATAACTTATTTGAGTATTTGGTCATGATGGTTCCGTTCAGCTGCATATATAAATGTTTAGGGAAATGGCAAATCGGGATATGACTATGAATAAAGGAAGCATTAAATATACGGACAGAAAAATGAAAAAAAGGTACACAACTACAGTACTAGGCACACATTCACTTCTTTATATTTCACTATGTCTAAAGATAATTCAGTATTTCATTTTTTACCTACCATGGAAGAATTCCGTGAGTACAAGCTCCCCATATCCCAGTCTTTGATCGCCACGCCCAAGTCTCCGGCAAATACCTGGAAATTCACAAGGTGTGTTGGGATGGTTATGCGTAAGCGAAAACTTTTCCGAGACTATACACCTAAAAATACATGAAAGTTTTAAAGAACTTGAGAAAAAAAATGTGACAAACATGCACGACTCTTCGTATAATGTAAATAGAACATGGCAATATTTCCCTCTTTTAAGAACAGGCAAACACGGAATGATGAATTACCATGTCTAACTGTTGTCGTAGAGCAGCATACACTTCGCCTCTTGCGTGCTGGGGGCCCTTGAAGGCATAAGCGACCGTTTGGCTTCCGGACCCGGCGAGCAGTAAGAACTTGCTCTGGTATTGCGGGATCTAGAAGGGATGTTTGGGATTACTGACTGGATAAACTGATAGATTTGATAGTTTATATGTACGCATGTGAAATTTTGGCTTAATGTATAAATGATGCGAGTTCATGACAAGATAACCAAAAACATATCCTCAATTTTAGAGGCAGACTAGACTCTTGTAACATAAAAATCAGACGTTATTTGTTCCTTTCTTAAGCTGGCTGTATTTATTCCTTCATAAAAATACACAAGTTCTGCAAAATACGAAAACAAAAATATTACAAAATCTCACATTGACGGGCACGATCCCTTCAAAGTGGGTCATCCCGGCGGCCGGCAACAGGTCCTGCAGCGGCTCATAGTAAGTCCCCAGCTGCACGTAGACGCGGACGAGGTTGCGGGAGGCGAGCAACAGGTAGTCCCAGGCACCCGTACGGTAACTCTTCCACGATATTATCTCTTCTTGCAAGCTCAGTTCTTGCACGTAACGTATCGCTTGATCGTACATGTCCGTTGCCTTTACCGAACGCGATTTTAAGTGTGAGAAAAGAGATGTACATATGAAATACATTGTGAAATGTGACATGGTGATATAAAGTTTTTGAATCAATAGAACTGCGATATATCACGGGCATAGGCGCTCACCACAAGTTCGTGAATGTGTAGGCTAGTTCCGTTCAAGACCCCCAGCATAAAACGTGTGCCACTTTGCCAAGACTGCATCTCGGTACCTTCTGAGCTCCAGGTCGTAGACAAACTGCAACGCCATTTTCGAAGGTCATCGACTTATCACAAAAACAAAACGTTGTGGTTGGTGCTCGAAGATAACTCGCGTTTTCATTTAGGCTATAATATCTTAATTATTGAAGAATGGGACAAGTTTAAACATCCACAAAAACTATTACAAGGCAAAAATAACAAATGAAAGTTGCTGATATTTTCCTAAAATAGAGTATGCATATGGGTATATGTGAATGTTTGTAAATGTAAATTTCATTAAAGGAAAACAGGCTTTCCAGTCTACTTATATGTATATTACTGGTGAATCAGTATGTTAGTATAGAGGATTCTATGACGTTCCTCCATCTTAGCACAAGGAAAATAAAAATAACTAGAACAAAGTGGGTTTTGTTCGAAAGCAACACACATGCGTTGCTACCACTCTCAGATAAAATGGCTTATAAACGTTTAGCAACGAAATCGGGGAAAAAAACAAGACCAAAATTCGCTACTAAATAAATTCGCTGCTTAAATTGATAAGACGACCAACCCTAAATACGGCTCCATGTTATGAAAGGTGATCATAAAGACTTTGTGAAGTTCGCTTTTGTCGCAGAAGACCACGAGGAATCGGAGCTTCTCGTGGCGGCCGTAGTGATCCAGGTATACCTCGCCGTAACCCAAGTCTTTGGCGTTTTCGACGAGCTTCACGGAGCTCAAGCTTATCATTTCGTTCATCTTCTCCAACGAATCTAAGCCCTGTGGACAGCGGACGATTGGGTATTATGCGATTTTCTTCAGTGGTTTGTTGGTATATCATGTAGTGATAGGATTTTCTTTTCCTTACAATCCTAGCAACGCCATGAAGTCTTTGGGATTTAATAAAATGTGTGAATACTTTGAATAATGTCTAAGCTATGCTGTGAATCTACCCATCGATATAAACCTAGAGAACTAGCCATACAATTGTAACTTTATTCCCGTAACCAGCGAACCAAACAATCCAGAAGACTTACAACTCTGTACAGCGACAAGGTATTCCCATGGGCTATGATGACATTCTCCATCAGGCCTTCCTCTGGGTCAAAGTAATAGTTGTAATACTCGAAGCCCACAGCTGCGTCGACAAATAAATGCTCTGGTTCTGAAAAGTGATTTACGTCTATAGTGTTTGTTATAATGCATTCACCGTTGATTACTAATCGCGTTTTAATCAGGGGAGTGCTTGGGCAAGAAGTCTTGCCGATAGGCCAAGAACTTTACCATTCCCTGCATAAAGCGCTTGAATAGGCAGGCAAGACTTGCTCAGTGATGCCAGAGATGTGGAAGTGTCTTTCTATAAAGTATAATTAATAACAGTCCTTGGAGAGCTTTGAAATGTCAAAATAACACACAACATATACATACTCAGGTTTTAAAAGCAATAGACAAGTATTCCCACAAACGATCTCGAAGAGAGAATTTATGCCTCGAGGGTAGCATTTATTACATTGGCGGGTTGGTAATAGTTTGAGTGTGCTTTCAAAACATTGACAAGCTAGCGCCGCATCAAGATGGCAGAAGTAAATAAATCTGCCCTAACATCAAAAGCAAGTGAACATCACTGAATGAAAATATAGGCCTACCCATTTCCATATATACAATTTTATGTAGTTGAAAATAATATTCCCCAAATACACTATCAACAGAAGAATGCTGCTAGATTTTTTCAGACTTTTTCGCTTAAAATATTTTCTTTTTCATTGAATAGTAGATACATTCTCTATTTAGTATTCAGAGAGACAATGTGTTTAAAAGGAGATAAATCATTACAAGACTAACAATTTATGATTTTTAAGAAAAAAAAAAACATTCATTCCCATAAATACCTCCTTTCGTTTTCAGTTAATTTCAATTTCTTTAAATAAAATTATGGAAATTGCAGAATCATACCGAAAAAAAAAATCCTCTCATAAGATACCAAGCTAGAGCTAGAGCATATGTAGTCAAGGAAATTCTGTGAAAATCATTAGGCGTTTTAAGCAGGGAAAGTTATTTCCTAAAATCGCAAGACCTTTTCTTGCTTTCTCAGGCGACCCTAGTAGGTGGCTAGACTTGCGCTTGCTAGGTCAAGCTGTGTACCTGCATCATGGCAGCAACGTCGGTCGCGTACGGTAATAGCTACAATCCTTCGAATGCGGGCGTTGGCCAAGAACTCGGTTTATTATATTATCAGAGAAAGGTTTTCTTTATGGTATCTGATTCTGTAATTTCCATGAAATCATTTTCAAAGAAATTAAAATTAACTGAAATAGGGATTATGGGAATGAAAAGTGTTCTTATAAATCATAAATCATTATAAGACCAACAATTTATCTTACTTTTAAACTCCTCGTCCATCTACATCGAGAATATATCTACTATTCAATGACAGAGAATATTTTAAGTGAAAAAGTCTCGAAAAAAGAATCTAGCAACATTCTCCTGTTGATATTACATCCGGTGACTTGTTCTCAATTTCATAAAATCGTATATATGGAAATGGGTAGGCCTATATTTTCATTCTGTGATTTTGATTTGTTTTGATAGCACGTCAGATTCCAAGGGTTGTCAATCTGAAGTGTGTGTTACTGTTTTAGAGGTGTGTATATGAATAGGGGAGGAAATATAGCGTTTTGTAAGAGATAGTAGATTTAATTTACCCTGCCATCCTGATGCGGCACTAGCTTCTTGTTAGCTGTTTTGAAATGAAAAGAAAATTCTTGCTTCAGTCTGGATGCTTAAGATATCGCGATCTTACCAGCTTCGATACACGTGGGGTTTTGCGATTCCTCGCCGCACTTTACACAAGCTGTCCCCGAATGGCCCTCCGACTGTCGGCATTGACATCCACCTGGTCTGCAGCAAGCGCATTCCTAAAATAAATATATAAATAAATAAAAATAACATGTAGGATGAACAAAAAAATGTAACTAAAGGAATGAGAGGGAGGACATGCAGGGGAAACAAGGTGGACAAGGATAACAGTAGAATACAGAAAATTGAGGAAATTAACAGGAAAAGTAATATGAATATGAAAAAGTCGGCTTCATTTGACTATTTCCACAGGTAGACTGTGATAGAAACGCATTTTACAACAATATTGGGAAGTTTCCACTTAAAAACATTCGCTTTTTACACACCATAGATCCATCGACGTCGCAGTGACATCCAGCCCGACTTTTGGTCCAGCTGTTGGTAAGGTAAAGCGGCTCCATTATCTCGCCTCGGATGACATAGCCCATTCCCGAGTCGCTCTGAGGCCGCCAAACAAGACCGCGGTTACAATAGATTATATTTTTCTCTCGGGCGCAAAAGTAATAATCCAGATAGTAAGAAAACATGCCTTAAATGTAAGAGAAACGATAATCGTATTGTGCACTGATTGAATGATTTATCACTGCATCCCAGGGACAGAATAGTCTGAATAATTAAGAGTCCAGGAGAGCTTTTCGAAGACTTCAGCTGTTCCACACGTGTGTAAGTAGGTATAGCTCGCCCCTTGTGTTATCTATCTCACTTCAAACAGTAATCGACTACTTACCCGATAAATATAGGGCATGTTCCGCACATTAACAGCGAAGACGTCACTTGTGTTCAGGCTGCCAGGGTCAATCTGGACGGTGATATTTTTGACTGACAACGCTGAAACATTTGCAATGGATTTCTACTCAAACATATCCTATCAAATCTAAGGGGATAGTTGGCATGTATATCACACGTATTTATAAATCCTCCAACTCAAATTCAGAGAAAACCAAATGGCTCCTGAAACAAGAATTTCGTCATCAAGACAATCCATACTTTCTCTGTTGTTTACGTCCAGGTCGTAGTAGTAGCTGTGCCAGTAACCTTCGCCGAGGTACGGAATATCAGGGCTTCCTGTGCTTCTTCTGCGCCGCTGCAGATTACGCACATTCAGGTGGTGGAGGCGGAGCTGGTCTTCGTAAATGGCGATGATATCCCTCTGCAGGCTTTCGATGGTAGAATCGAGAAGCATGTCCAACTGTAAAAGATTGGATTGGTTTTATAGTGCGTAAATGTGCATATAAATGAGCACGTGTATGCGCACAAGTATGCACATAATTCTGTATAAATGTGCATGTGTGCGCACAAGTGTGCACGTAATTCTGCATAAATGTGTGCAAATTCATGTTGACACATGTATACAAGAGTACATCATATGGCACTGTATAACTTACGATGCCAAAACACCAAAACTGAAATACCTCCTCAGCTTCCAGGTTTTCGAACAGGACTTCCGACGGATCCACACCCCTGAAGGAATCAGGAGCGACTGGAGCCCAGGCAACCATCACGAGGACCAGGGTCGTCCACATCCTCGCCTCGGATGCTCTGCTCGCCTGAAAGGAACGGGAGAGTCAACATGGGGCTAATGTGACCCTTGACCTATGGCTAAACACACTACAGTCTAGACCAGTTGTGCGAGGTCACCATTACCCCTTTAGAGTAAGTATGTAAGAGTTGCAAAACGTTTTATTTTACTTTTCTATCTTTGCTGGTCTCTAATATATGTTATAGAAATCGTCTACATCAAATTTGAACCTTTATTACGTTCTTAATCTTAATCAGGAAAGTAGATAAACTCTAAAGTCTCGGCGGTTTCCACCATGGAAGGACTGTTTGTTTACAATAATCAGCTGATGTGCGCGGCGAAACTAAAAACTATGTGAACCCAACCCACCTTTCGGCAAAACTCTACGAGAATTCACACGTACCAAAAACCCCCCCAAAAATTTTGACCAATAAACCAACCTAATATATCAATATATATTGCCATGCCTAGGCGTGCCTAACTGCGCGAGGGGGAGGGTTGATGGTGGGGCTCTGTCCCCCAATACCTCCTGGGACACATTCTCTTCGCCTCGGTATATACGGCAAGATAGAACTGCATTCACATGGTAAGATAATAAACTAAATACCTTTATATCTGGAAACGTCAAAATTTCATTGCTTCTTTGTATCGTCGGGATTGCTTCGATTTTAAAAACCTTTTTCGACATTTAGAGCACTTGATGGGCCCAGATATAAAACTGGGATGGTTACTAGTCTAATTATTCTTCGATGCCACTGTAAAAGTCTTAAAAATAACCCAGAATCAACACAACACTGGTACCGCATTTCTCACCGTCGTTTTACCTTGAAAAGAGGGTTAATTTTTCGATTATGACAATCGGGACTTCGCAGACAATATTTAAATCATCAGATTTATTCTCGTGTGATGAGAATTAATCTGATGATCATTTCCGTAGCAATCACAGCTGACGATCTTGATGTGTTAAGTCCTGTTAGCAGGGAAGGGCATGAAGTATATCAGGGAAATTATGGGGTAAAACAGGCTTAAATATGAATAATAGCGAACAGAAACATGTAAAACTAGGACAAAACACGTTAAAAATCGGCAAAAGAAACTCTACGGACATGTCCGCCATCTTTGAAAGTCTACGCACCAACGCGCGCCTTGCAAAATTCTACAGGAATCCATCCCATCCTTCGGCAATATCTATGGGATTTCACACCTTCCAAACCCAAAAAACGTCCTAACCCATAACCCAACCTAACCCAGCAATTTACGGTGCCGTGACTAGGCGTGTACTTTAGGCACTGCCCGAGGGGAGGTTGATGGGGGGCAAGCCTCCCAACATCCCCCGGGATGCATTCTCTTCACCTCGGTATAAACAGCAAGATAGAGCTACATCCATACTGTGAACAATAAACCAAATATCTTTATATACCGAAATACCGAACTGTCAATTTCCCTTTACTTCTTTCGATCAGTCGGTCGGTCTATTGTGGATGTGATCGCTTCGTTTTTATCCCTTTTGTTGGGAGATGGGGTTCTTGATGGCCTCAGAATTCAAACTGCGATAGTTATTAAGGTCTTTTTCTTCTTCGTTTCCACTGTATAGTCTTAACTACCTAGAATCAACGTTACACCAAAAATGAAACATTTTTCACCGGCCTCCTGTCACCGACTGCCCCTGAATCCTTCTGACCAATTCCCTTAAATTAGTCTAATAAATCTTGAAACATGGAAATGAGGTATAACAATATTAACAAAGGCCTTTGAAAGCTGATACAGACACTGATAATTAGCCAAATATCGTTTTGACAACGGCATAGTAATACATGAACTACATTCATGATATCAACATGGCAAGGGTCAGTCTTCTCTCTTTTCTGTCGTGTAACTCTCATTTTCGATTTGCGCACCTTTTACCATAGATGAAAAGTGTCTTATATAACTTCAAGGTAACCATTACATATCTTTTTTTTTTTACTCAATTCCCGATTGTTATACACTGTAAATTTAGTCAATATGCATAACAGGGGTAGGGTCTTACTTTCAAAACAATTTTGATATTTATCTGCATGAAATCCACTGGTTTCAACGATTCGGAGTGGCGGACGTAATATAGAAAATTACCCTAATATAACCCACTGGGAAAATAACCATGGTTATTCACATGACTTTCCATTGCAGGAGGCTGCGCCCCCTGCGACCCCTCTGGGACTTCCCTGGGGGGGGCTGCCGCCCCCAACCCCGCCGACAAAAAAAAAAAAAAATATCCCCATGTATTCACGGTAGAATAGAACACACACGAACTGGATGCATCGACAAAGGCACAAAACCCGCCGAGCCGACGAGGGCGGGCCACCGCTGCTCTTCTGTTCATGGTATACCTTGTTCATCCTGATTATACTACATCATCACTTTATACAATGCTGCCTATATCAAGGTTAGTTTGCCGACTCAGTGGGAATGTTACGAGGTAAATGTAATACGTCCACTGCTCCGAGATCGACGATAACTGTAACGGTCTAGCCTGCCGGGAATACATGATGGAGATTTTGTTTCCTCGGCAGGGGGTTGGGGGGCTGCAGCTCCCCCAGGGGGGTCACAGCCCCCTGCAATGGAAAGTCATGTGAATAACCATGGTTATTTTCACTTTGGGTTATATTATTATTAATTTGGGGCATTTTCCCTGGAACCTTTCATGCCCTCCCCTACTATTGGGGCCAAGTTTGTCGCTAACGGGGGTTTCAGCGCAATAAAAATTATATATTTGCAATGTGGATAGCGAGAAGAATCCAACGATACCAAAATCGTCGATAACATGGAAAATTACCAACGATTCATGTTTCTTGTGCAAATGCTTTGTTGACGAGATCTGAGTACCACTTCCATCGACAATCTTAATTTGTTAGTCCCATTAGTAGGGGTGGGCATGAAGTATATCAAGGAAATTGTAGGGTAAAACAGGCTTCAATAAGGAATACCAAACAAAGAGACAAAAACAAGCCCAAAAATGGCTAAAAATCGGCTAGTGAAACTCTACGGACATGCCCGCCATCTTTGAAAGTCTACACACCGACGAGCCAAAATTCGAAAAACTCTACGAGAATAATAGGCATCTTTCGGCAAAATCTACGGGATTTCAAACCTTCCAAGCACCAAAAAACGTCCTAACCCGTAACCCAACCTAACCTCGATATTTACGGTGCACTGACTAGGGCAGGGTTGATGGGGGGCAAGCCTCCCCAACACCCCCTGGGTGTTGGTGGGGCTCGGTATGTACGGTATGTACGGCTACATCCATACTGTAAACAATAAACCAAATACCTTTATATATCGAAAGGCCAAACTGTCAATTTTCCTTCGCTTCTTTCGGTTGGTCCATCGGTCGGTCTATTGTGGATCGTGCATCGCTTCGTTTTTATCGCTTTTTTCGGTATTTAGGGTACTTGATGGCCTCAGAAACCGAACTGCGATAGTTATTAAGGTCTTTTTTCTTCTTCGTTACCACTGTATAGTCTTAAGAATAATCTAGAATCGACGCAACATCGAAAATAAAACATTTCTTACCCGACTACCTGCGAATCCTTGTAAAAACTGGCGGCGAGAAACGCGAAAATACACATACGCAGAAGGTACTTCAGACTGATTCCCGTTAAAATCTGTACAGTCAATCTTAAAACACGTAAATGAGGTATAAATAACATTAATAAAGGTCTTTGAAAGCATAAATATGGAACGGCAGACACTGATGATTAGCAAAATATGACAATCACGCAGTAATACATGCACTAGTCTGAACAGTGCAGTAATCTGTTCTGCGTCCAGTCCAATGTTTACTTTCGTCGTGAAAACATGATGATGGACTTAGGCAAAATTGGGCCCTCACCTCTGTTCATTTACGTATAGCACCTTTGGGAAGCATTTGCCTAATTATTGCCCTAGAAGGAAAGTGTCTTGGTTTGTATCGGTCTACCGTTTTATATAGGTTTTATCTCCCAACTCAAACCCCACCTCATACTGCATATTGTCCCTTGATTGGTAATTTTCTATATTATGTCCGCATAATGAACGATTTATCGTTGCATTCCTCCCACTCTATACAATGCAAATATGTAGGTTTTATTGCGCGGAAACCCCGTTAGCGACAAACTTGGCCCCGATAGCGGGGGCGACGATGTCGGAGCGGCGTACGTAATATATAAAATTACTATAATATAACCTCACAGTGAAAATAATCATGGTTATTCACATGATTTTCCATTGCAAGGGGCTGCCGCCCCCCCAACCTGCGCCGAAGGAACAAAACCTCCACCACGTATTCACGGCAGGATAGAGCGCACACGAACCAGATGCATCAAAAAAGGCGCAAAACCCGCCGACCCGACGAGGGCAGGCCACCACCGCGCTTCTGTTCATGGTATACCTTGTTCATCCTGATTATACTACAATCGTCTCCGTATACAATGCTGACTATGTCAAGGTTAGTATGCTGATCCAGTGGGAATGTTATGAGGTAAATGTAATACGTCCGCCGCTACGAGATCGCCGATAACTGTGTAATGCTCTAGCCTGCCAGGAATACGTGGTGGAGGTTTTGTGTTCTTGGCGGGGGTTGGGGGCGGCAGCCCCCCCAAGGGGGGTTGCAGGGGGCACAGCCCCCTGCAGTAGAAAGTTATGTGAATAACCATGGTTATTTTCACTGTGCGTTACATTATTAGTGCCATTTAACCCTGCATTTTCCCTGGAACCTTTCATGCCCTCCCCTGCTATCGGGGCCAAGTTTGTCGCTAGCGGGGGGGGTTCCGCGCAATAAAAACTATATAATTGCTATGTGGAGAGTGAGAGGAATCCAACGATACCAAAATCGTCGATATCGGTTATGCGGACGTAATATAGAAAATTACCAAAGGCATATATGTGTAACAGCAGACAGATAATTAGCGAAATATCGTTTTGACAAGCATGTAGTAATATACGGACTTGTTGGGACATCGCATTAATAAGTCATGGGTCTGTGTTTTGTTATTCCTGGCAAAGTAAACAAGTTGCTGGACTTTGAATTCTAGCGGCGTCCACGGGTTATATTTTCGTCATTCAGCGGTGACTATAAGGCCACTGCAGCATAAACTATGTTCTATCTCACTCCATTTATTCCGCTATAAGATAGTAGATAGCGGTGTCCTTTTCTATCTACGCGCGTCGGTGTCTGTAACCTCTACCTTACCGAGTTTCAGCTTTATCTAGCCGTGCATACCGAGGCGAAGATAATGTTTCCCAGAGGAATGTATAGGGCAGAGCCCCCCTCATCAACCCTTCCCTCGATCAGTGCTCGAAGGACTCGCC